TCTAATTAGGGTTTCTGATTTTGGACAGATCGTCTAGGCCGATATTTATATCGTCCCGGACGATGTTACCAAAAATAGAAATCATATAGGGAGCAAGAGAATTTCTACTAAGTTATAGCCACACCAAATACAACAGACTCAAGAAAGGAAAAAGATTACAAACTGACATAGACCTAGGCTACCCAATATTGAGCTGGTTCCAAATAGTAGTCTGATCGTGTGGACCTGAAACGTTAGTATAAAAGGCAATCGTAGGAAAATAAGGAATGTTTACTATCATCAAAACTATAAACCATAGATCCGCAACAACTTCCACGCGATCCCTCCGACCACCGTCGCCCGCTGATAAGTGTAAATAAAATATTTTTTAATGTGTTTTATTTCTAGTGAAAATATATAGTTCAAGTTGTTTCTATGTCGGAAAAACTCAAAATTGGCAAAACTTCTAAGGAGCTCTTAGCATCGCGACATTTAATGATACAACGACGAAGCGCTACCTTCAATACTGTCGGGATGCTCAAATTCTGACAGGGTGGCGTCGAGTTATCAGTTTGCAAGCGCTACGACGGTAATAAAGATAGCACCGCAGTATTGTACGTGTTGCTGTGTCAGAAAGTTAGCTTGGTAGCATCAGAATCTTTATTTTAAATGGCGTGGCGTCATAATTTCTCATGCCTTAGCACCAAATTTGCACTGTGTGAGCCGTAGAACTCCAATGTCCACAACGGAACGACGATGCAGCTGTAACTTATAAGGGATATGTTCTATCAGTGAAGAAATGCGACTGCTCACTAAATAAATGATCTACGTCAGCAAGCGACATGGCGGTGCAAAAGCTCAAGCGTCGAGGCACCAGTTCACTTCAAGGGCGATGCGGTGCCATTACTTTAAATGTCACAGCTGTAGTTGCCATTTTTATGTTTTTTATAAATAGATATTGTGTAGGTTTATAATGGACTTCAGTCGTTTGTGTAATTTTAGTACTTTTAAAAGTACTTCTCTAGTTTCCTCTTAGAGTAAAACCTATGTGAAATTAGGAAATATAAGATATAATCATTTAGAGTGTTAAAGGGACGAGTGTAGAGGAGATACCTCAATCATTCTTTATAATATCACTCTCTTATATTTTTTATTCTTTCATGAGTATAATGAAAATGAGTTTGCTTGATATTCACTCTATGTATGGCTAATTCTCTCTTTTTGGATTGATGACATAAAATGGATATGGAATACTAATGAAGACTCTTGTTCTATAAATTGTTAAAAAATATTTTTAAAATTATCTTGCTCTTTATTAAATACACATAGTGGTAATATATGTGGTTAAAGCCTTAGTGTGATGTGTAGCCTCGACAAATGAACACAAGAATAACCAGGAGTATTGGAATAGGATGTTTTGCATACATAAGTAAACATAGGATGTAAAATATTATAGGTTTTTAAGGAGATGTTAAAATTATAGGAGGTTACCAGATATCATTTTCATCTCTACAAGCACAATAGAGTTCCAGGGATGCATATGCTCTGAATAACATTAACATGATGGGTCTCATTAAAAAAGATAAGTAAATTATAGTCATAAATCCAAAAAAACTTTAACTAAATATTATATCAAATATTTTTACTGATTTATTTAGAGATAGAATCTCCAAAAATATCAAAATTATTTAAAAAGGATAATTGTTATAATTAGAGTAAATAATATTAATTTGTTGCAAATAAAGCATATTTCCTCTTGGGTTTGACACTCTACTCTATCAGTTTATTACTTGATTTAACACGTATACTTGCATCTATTAAGTTGAGTTTGTTATTATTTATATCAAAGAAATCCTAAGTACTCTTTAGGGGTGACAGTCATGAATTTTTATGCAATTCAAAAGTTTACTCCATAGCCCCCATTCTATTTTTGGCACCATTGCCGGTGAATTGTAAAAAAAATCATTTTTTGACTTTGCTAACTTAATTTTGATAATTTTGAAGCTCAAAAGAGCCTCTATAATTATTTTGGAGCTATTTAGAAAGTTTGTGAGTAAATTTCTTTTATATTATTTACTCCATTTATTGTTCTATCTTTGTAGAATGTTCAAATTATATAAATATTTTTTAACTCTGTAAGATTCGACGACCAAAAAAAGGGAGGAACTGAAACATCACCAAAAATTGTTCAAATTATATAAATATTTTTTGACTCTGTAAGATTGCACGAATCATGAGCCATACTCACGTTAAAAAATTTCAAAACTAAATTTAGGACCATTTGAACTCCAATTTCAACAAATTTATAATCAAATTGAATGTCTCAAAGAGATAATCCTAACACCACAAAAACCAAGCCCAAATATACTTAAATTTGGGGTCCAAAGCTTATTTGGAAGATTCAAACCTAAATTGGATGACAAAAATATATCTAAATATAACATGCTTATAGTTGAATAAAGTGGTTCAACGAAATGAATCCAATAAATGCAAGATCGCTTCATTCTGACATCATTTGGTCACATAAATGCTTCACAAACACTTTATAATTGAGGGGATCAATATGGGTCATTCGATGAAGCATTTCAAATCTTCCCAATATCTTCTCCACATTAATTAGGTGGCATGCAATTCTAAAAAATCTATAAATAGACCCCTCACTTCTCACATGTAGAGGAGAGGCTTGGAGCTTTGGACCTTTAGCCTGAGATGGAAAGGGTTCTAAGGTTTCAAGGATATAGAGCTCCATCAAGACACCACCATCGACAAACCTTTGCCGACCGCTATCAGACCACCGCTTATCCGCTGACCATTGGCAGACTTTCACCCGGATGTCGACTACAGGCAACAAACGGACTTCCACTTGACCATTGTTGGACCACCTCGCCGATGTAGCTTACAGTCCATCTGACCATTGTTTCTCCTCGACTACAATCACTCTGATCACCATTGCCCACCGACTATGATTCCTCCGACTACCGTTGCCAGCCGACTATGGTCCCTTCGACAGCCGTCTCATGTTGATTAGGGTCCCTTCAACCTATATCACTCCTCAACTACGATTCCTTTGACCTCCATCGCCTGCCGACAATTGTTCCTCTAACAAACGTCGCCTACAAAACTATGATTCCTCTGGCTACCCTCGCCAGCCGACTACGCTCCCTCCAACCTCCTTTGCCCACCACTTACGATCCCTTTGACATTTGTCGCCCACTCACTATGGTCATGTTGAACTCTTCTATCATCGTGAAAACTAAATGAGCATGTCAACGTTCTCTTAAGAACGACTCTTTTATCATTAAATTTTTTGAATACCAACTATGTAATATGCTCTATATGATATATTGCGACAATGCCTTCCCCTTGAGGAAAGGCACCATTTGTAACCAATAATTAATACTAGTGGAATCATTTTAACCAAGCCATGCCTCATGACTTTTCTCCTTTTTCAAAGTTTTTTACATAAAATTCTTACTGTTTGCTATTCACTCTCGCAACCCTCTCTTTTTATCTCTATGTGTTGGATCTACGTTCAGAACTAAAATGCTAAATTTTATCTCTCCACCACAAATATTCCAGTATGCAATGGATCTAATAGATTTTGATTCACTCAATGACATACAATAGTAAAATATTCGTGACCTCTCTATTTTTCTCATTTAATCTAATAATTGTTTATATTTTTAAGTAAAATGTGTTGCTGCCTATCTATAAATTTGAATTCATCACTTTTCCTTAAAGTCAATTTGAATAATTTATCTAATTAAAGAAAAACAAACCTTCGAATCCCTTCTATTTTGGCCTCGTCTCTTCAGTGGAGCAAAACAAGTGTGGGGTCGATGCCAGTGGGTGGCCTTACTAGGTTCCGCGCGCCGAGGAATTAGTATCACCATCAACCTTTCTTTTTGAAGTGGCAGCGAGTAGATACCCAAAAAAAGAACCTTTAAAAACCAGAAAATTTTGAGCAATAATTTTTTCAATTTTTTTCCGGATGATATACAATAATGAACCTTTTACACGTTTGGAAGTTTTTTAAAGACCGGTTAAAATATTTACATGACTTGTTTTATTACCATATTAATTTCTTTTACTATAAAATTGAAAGGATTGCGTATGATTTGTCCTATAATACAGTACAAAGAAATTATATTAGGATATTTTAAGACATATGTCATGATGAGAAGATAATGAAAAGAAAATATAAATTTAAAAAATATGTCAAATATATATATATAGCAGGAGAGAGAAAACCTGAATGACCAAAGGAGGAATACTAATAAAGCTCTCAGCTTCCACTCTGTACAAGAGTTTTCTCCATGATATGTTTGGCCTCTCAGATGCCTCAAGAAATTGATCAACGGAGATGCTCACACAGGCCTCGGCAAACAAAGCCCCCTCACTATTACAGTCCAACTCAAGCTTCTCCCCATTTTCAGAGCTAGCTTTCAGCCTCCCAGCCAACGGATAGTAGACCGTAAGAACTTTAGAAAGTGAAGCCTTAAGGCTCTCCACTCCAACTCGTCTCTTGAATAGGTACAGATACTTGATTGAGAACCTTAGAAATATCTGGTCGTCGAGGTTTGAGAGGTAGATTGTATGATCCGGAGTTTGGCCACTAGGAGTAACTAAAGCCGGTTCTTTTGGGTAGTAACAATCTGGTATTTGAATAGACTTTGACATGGTATTCTCGAAAACCGGGGGGAGAGTGAAAAGTATTATAGAAAGGAAACAAATTCTTGCAGAGAAATAGAGGTTTTTTTAATGGGCGAAGAGGAAAGCCAAGCGTTGCAGAGCCTGCAAAATATTTACATTTAATTGAATCGATTCTTGTGCTCTCATTTATTACCTCTTTCAGAATTTAATGGTGTGCAACCCAGCCTGGTTGCCCAGATGGGCCCATGTCTAGGAATTCCATGCCTAGTGCGTAATGTGCATAGGACATCTTGTTAAATCCTGAGAACATATGAAAATATATTTTAATATTTATAATAATTAGAGATTTAAGTGTGAAGAAGATAATTATAAATTATAAATTAAATTTATAATTAAAAATAAAAATTAATTTGTTATTAATTTAATAAAATTTTAAAAACAAGTTACTCATTAATTATTATTTACACTATTAATTATATATTTTAATAATATTTATTTTAAGTTATAATAATTAAGCTAATTATTCAATTAAGAAAAACTAGATAATTAATTAATGGACTAATTATACTATTAATTATTAAATTCATTTACTGAATTATTAATATTTTAAATAATATTTATTAGGTTAGTCAATAATGACTTAAAGGCGTCTAAGGTTTGCCTTTCATCTTCTCTTTTTGTCGTTGCTGTTCGGCTTCCTTGCTTCGCAGGAGGTGTAGAGATTGCGCGTCGCTTCTTCGGCTCCTTTGTGGCTGTTCGACTTTGCTCCTTCGATGACTTTCCCTTCCTGTCGGTTAGGAAGTTACGACATTTTAATCGGAAGCAACAACTGGAGCTCGCTGACTATGAAGGTAACTTTCTCCCTTTCGTGCGCTTCTTCAGCCAAATCCCATAAATAAGCAAAAGAATGGGATTAGGATTTACCAGAATTTATCGAGATTTACGCCATAAATTCGTAAATTTCCGTTTTACTAATTTGCGGAATTTAGAGTTGCGTGGAAATGTGTTTGACTGAATTTATGTTAAATCCTACTTAAAACAGATATAAAATCTGATAACAAACACCCCTTAAGAACTTATGTAGGCAATTTCCCTGTGGGGTAAATTTGAAATCTTATCTTTATAATTTGTTTGCACAACAATTAACCAAAAAGCTATATAACTAAAAACCATCTTTTAACTATCCATTATCATTAAAAATTATTATACAAATATTTATATCTCACTGTTCGTTAGATTAAAATTTTCGTTTTTTGTGATTTATATTTGCAATGCAAGATGATTAGTAGTGAATTCATGAAAGCGCAAATCCCTTTCGGCGAACAGCTAGGAAGACGATGCATTATATTGGACAGCAGCTAATAAAAAAAATTGAATGCACTTTATTTTTGGTTGTTTGGATGCTTGAAGAATGAAGGTAAATTATATAGAATGGGGGTTTTTTGAATATTTTTATTTGATTTGAAATAAACTAAATATATTATAAAATTTTAGCTTATTTGAAATTCACCATTTAGTTTATTTTTGTGCTTTTGGAATTCCTTAGATTTGGACGAGTTCCAAAAACAGTTGAAATTTATTGCAATAGCTGTCGCCAGCCACCGCCACCACTGGCTACAGCCACCATCGCAAGCTGCCACAGAATAATACCACAGCCACCTACCGCAAAGCAATCCCTGTCGTTGTCATTGGTGACCACCACTGTCAATATCAGCTGCCTACCGCCACTATCTTTACATTTTATATTTCATTCATTTTTCTTCAATCTAAAAAAAAAATTGTAATGTCATGCATTTCTTTTACAGTCCTCTAAACAACTCCAAAATACTCATTGTACATTGCATTTCTCCCATAATACATTTATTTCCCAGCTAACTAAATAACCCCTTAGAAGAATTTAATTTTAAATTTTATTACACGTACGCAAAATATAAGGACAATACTTGAATGAATGATTTTAAAATTGTATTTTTTTTTTCAAATGAAAGAAATTTTATATATTAATTAAAGTTTTAGTAAATTAAAATAATAGCATTTTAAAATTCATCCATTGTGATTAAATTTATATTATGTGAATAAAAAAAATCATTTATATAAACATGAAGAAAAAATAATCAATTTTCAAGTTATTAATATTAGAGCCATTTTTGTAAGCTTGAAATTAATATATCCATCTTATATAATTACATTTAAATCAAAGCTAAGCAATGCTTACTTGGTATATCATATGGACTAAAAGTGAAGTTAAAAAAAAAGTTAATAAAATTTTAGTAGATTTTTATAATGAGTTTGCTTAATATATACTGATGATGAGATTAAAATCATCTTATGTGACAATATTGAGCAATAAATGTAAATCAAATCAGCCTTACTGTAGAAATTCAGAACGTCACATAGAAACAGAACCGCCTTCGTATAATCATTCCTGCTTTTCTTGCTACAGTACATGGGTAATTATACTCATGATAAAGTATTCTAGAATGTCTTAGTGTAGGTGTGTGATACATGACATTTGTATGGATGACATGAGTTGAGTGGTTAGTAGAGGATGATTAGAGTTTGTGCTTGTGTCAGGTTTCCCTTAATACTCCCACGCAAGCTGACACTCCTTACGGGACTGTGAGCATGAGCCTTAAAGCCTGGAACCTACAAGTGGAGAGTGGCTTGGTAAAGACATTTGCTAGTTGATCATGTGTTGTCACTAGTATAATGCTGATAGACTTGGAGTGAATATGATCCCATATAAAGTGTTGATCTATGTCAATGTGCTTGGTCCTTGCATGACAAACATGATTATTGGCGAGTGCAATAGCTAAAGTGTGTCACATTTGATTTCAGCGGGCTACAAACAGGAAATGTTAAAGTCGACAAGTAATTTGCGAAGCCAAAGAACATCATCAGTAGCAGCAGCAATTGCTCTGTATTCGGCTTCTGTAAAATACTGAGCAACCGTGTGTTGCTTTTTAAAACTCCACGAGATCAATGTGTTGCCAAAGAAGGTACAATGGCCAGTTGTGGTGCGATGAGTATGCTTGTCGCTTCCCCAATAAGTGTTTGAGAAGGAATAGAGGGTAAATGGACCTTTAGTAATGGGAATGCCATAATGATCTATCCCTTTGATATATCTAAGTACTTTCTTCAGTAGCAAAGCATTTTCAGATGATGGAGTGTGAATGTATTGGCATAACACATTGACAGGATAAGATATATTTGGTTTTGTAATAGTAAAAAACTGCAAGGAACCAGTGATTTGCCGGTAAATTGTTGGATTTGACAGTAACGTATCAGATGGGATATGCATGGGCAATTTGGTACATGTGGGGTTAGATAATGGTTTGCATTTAAAATTCCAGCAGTTTGGAGGATGCTATTGGCATAGGTAGTTTGAGACATGAAGTATGAATGGTCAGTAGTGGTAATGCTAATGCCGAGAAAATTGATAATTGTACCCAGATGTTTCATTGCAAAGTGTTGGTTGAGTTGGAGCAGTAGCTTGGATATCATATGGGAATCATTGCCAGTTAAAAGTATGTCATCAACATATATAAGAAAATACAATTAAACTCCGTCTTTGTTAAAAATAAGAAGTGAAGAGTCCGCCTTACCATACTGAAACCCAAACACTTTGAGATGGTTGGAAAAGGTTGCTAACCAATGACGTGGTGCTGTCTTGAGGCCATAAATGGCCTTGCGCAGAAGGCACACAAAGTTTGGGTTTAGTTTGTACTCAAAACCTTTAGGTTGTGTCATGTAGATTTCATCATCAAGAGTGCCATGAAGAAACACATTTGCAACATCGAGCTAATGTATTGGCCATTCATTATTAAGGGCAATGGTAAGTAGAAGTTTGATGGTGGGAAACAAAGCTACAGAACTAAAGGTCTCAAGAAAATTGATCCTATATTCTTGATGGTTGCCTTGAGAAACTAATCTAACCTTAAAGTAGGAAATTGAGCCATCAGAATGAAACTTGGTACGGAAAAGCCACTTGCAACGTAAGACAGGTTTGTCATGAGGAGGTGGTACCAGCAGCCACATCCCTTGTTGCTGAAGTGCATGAAATTCAATAGCCATAGAACTCACCAATGTGAACATTTTAGGGCTTTGGTAAAGGATGTAGGGTCAGGTAATGGAGAGGAATTGACAGTAGTTTGAGAATGAATCACGTTAAAACATTAGCGAGTTTTGAGGGTAACGATAGTGGATATGGTAATCATGTGATGCATTTTTGTTGGAAGTTGAGACAGTGGCTATAACATGGAGGAGTTGGTAGGTTCATTTGTGGAAGGATCTATGGAATTATTTTGGTTAGTTTGTTGTGGAGATGTGGTTGAAGAAGTAGAGGATGGAGAGGAGATGATGAGAGGAGTTGTCTGCGTAGTGGGGGTTAACAGGCCAGGTGGTATTGAAGATGAGGTAGAAAGTGGTTGAGGATGGGGAATTAACCTAAATGCGAATGAGGTTTCATCAAATGATAAATGACAAGAAGTGTATATGTGATTGTTAATGGGATCAAGACACCGATAACCTTTGGAGGCGGAAGAATAGCCGACGAAGAAACATGGAATGGCTTTGGGAGAAAGTTTGTGACGGTGCAAAGGGGGAAGCAAAGAAAAACATGCACACCCAAACATTTTTAATGAGGAATAGTCAGGTGTGATGTTGTATAGAATTTGAAGTGGAGACAGATTATTAGTTGATCGAGAAGGGAGATGGTTAATAAGATATGAGGCCGTCAAGATTGCCTCTGTCCACAGTGAATATGGGAGAGAAGCCATGTGCATGAGTGTTATTATAGTTTCAATGAGATGATTGTACTTGCGCTCAACAATACCATTTTTTTCAGGGGTATAGGGAAAAGAGATTTGATGTTCAATGCCATGCTGCTGTAAGAATGTAGTCAATTGAACATTAACATATACTTTACCACCATTAGACCTTAGACATTTGATTTTATAAGAGAGTTGATTTTCAATAAGAGTTTTGAACTTGATAAATGTTAAAGTAATATCAGATTTATGTTGGAGAGGAAACAACCATATAAATCTAAAGAAATCATCAATAAAGAGAACATAGTATCTATAGCCTTGATGTGAAACAATTAGGGAGAGACACCATACATCATAGTGAATTAAAGATAGAGGGTGAGACGAGCTAGATACATAATTTGTAAA